CAAAAATCCTAGAAGAAAACATAGGCAGTAAAATCTCAAACATTTCTCATAACAATATTTTTCCTGATATATCTCCTCGAGCAAAGGAAACAAAAAAAATGGGACTCCATCAAACTAAAAAGGTTTGTGCAGTGAAAGAAACCATCAACAAAGCAAAAAGACAACATATTGAATGGAAGAATATATTCACAAATGATACATCTGATAAGGGGTTAATATGCAATATTAAAAAACCCATAGAACTCAATACCCTCCCAAGAAAAATCCAATTTAAAAATGGGCAAAAGATCTGAATAGACACATGTCCAAAAAGGGACATACAGATGGCCAATATACATATGAAAAGATCTTCAACGTCACTAACCATCTAGATACCATTTTAAAGACAGGTAAACAGCCACCAACCCAGAAGCCTCTTGCACATCCTCTCCAACATGCCTGATTCCTTCTTTGAAAGTTGAGTGTGGTTTCTGAGGCTAAAATGAAACATGGAGAAACTCAAACAATGAAACATTCTAGCACTTTGTTACAAAATCTAGATCTGTGAACATCTTAAACTTTCCTTATTGAAAGTTATTTTTGTTATCTGTTCTCAATGTCTAATTTCATGAGCCAGAAAACTGCAGGAGTGTAACAGACTATAGTTGAATAACGTAAGCACAAACCAGTGCTGAACCTAGCTGGAAGTTCAGCTGGCACAATAATTCTCTTAACAGAGACAATGAAGATTTCAGATAATCTAAAACATGTTAATGGTGTGATCTTTCTTTGTATCCTCTATTTTAGTGATTTTCAACCTTTGTCATTTTATGGCGCTTATAAACTAATTACTAAAATTCTATGGCACAACAAAAAATATATTTTCTTGCATATCTGATGAAAAAATATGTATAATTTTGATTCACACTGGATGGCTACTGTGTTGGAGGCTGTCATTTTTTTATTTGACAATCTGAGGGAAATGAGGTCAAGTACTGCATGTTTCCAAAATTCTTGCAGCACCCCAGCCAGTATGGCTCAATTGGGTGGGCATCATCCTGCAAACTGAAAGGTTGCTTGTTTGATTCCCAGTCAGGGCACACACCTGGGTAGAGTTTGGTCCCAGGTCAGGGAGCACACAGAAGGCAATCAATTGATGTTTCTCTCTCACACTGATGATTCTTTCTCTCTCTTTCTCCCTCTCTTTCTCCCCTCTTTCTCTTCCCTCTCTCTAAAATCAAAATAAATAAAAAGTCTTGTAGCACACTGGTTGAAAATCACTGTTCTATCTCAAGGCTATGAAGCATCTGTTTAAGTATATCTGCTACAATGAAGATAAGAGTTTTATGGGTCCTGGTCTGAAAGTGGCCTCAAACAACAGGTTCATTTTATAAATACTACAAGACAGAACTGCACTCTCAAAAACAATATTATCTTTCACAGCAATGTTGAGGTCCGCCCTGCCTGGTCTCAGGAAACTGTAATCACCTGTGGCTAAGGCTGAGTAAGAGGCCTCCAAACCAGGAGACATTAAGGAGACAAAACTTATTTCCCTGGCATGAGCGCTGCCTGTTCTGTGCCGGCCCCCAATGCTAGATCAGTTAGCCAATGACGGGTAAGATTTCCCAAGGGGAGAATCGCCTAAGACAGGCATGATCACGTGGAGGCCTCAGGGAAGGACTTGGGGAGCTGTGGAAATGGAGGGGTGATTGACATTGACTCCTGCCCCCTCAGCTTTGCCAAAGCCCGAGTCCTTGAGAAATCCAAGTCTCCCAGCTGCCTTTGTCTCCTGGCCCAACTCATGCCTGTGGAAATAACAGGGGTGGTGCAGTCCAGACCAGAGTCAGTGGACCCCCAGGGTAATCAGACATGAGACATAGAATAAGAAAGATCCTGTGAGATCTGCTTGCTGGAGGATGCTCTTTAATTAGAATATGAAGGCACAGGCAGAAAACAAAACTAGCCTTTTAGGTCCTGTAGTCTTTTTAAATCATAAAGCCCCTTTCAAAGTTAACTACTTGTTTTATCTTCCTTCTGAGACTTTAATTCACAAACTGAATCGGTATTTTTAAATAAAATCCTGCTTCGGTGGGTAAACAAGGTGCTCTCCACTAGAGAAAGTGGCTGTTTCATACCCATTTCCCCACAGGACTCAGTTGTCCATGTGTATGTTTTTCTTGTGTTTCAACGAGCATCTGCAGTGATGGATATCGCTGGCTCGGTATCCATCTCACAGCAATCCTGCCTTTTTTTCCAAGTCCCACTTAACTGGTTCATGCCGAACAACTCCATACTGTATGAACTTACTTACTTACAGAGGGGTTACATTTTGCAAAAAAATTGCATACCAGAAAGTTATGTGAACACACACCACTCTGAGATTTTCCTTTGATCCCAGTTACTTGTGTAGGAGCTCCTGCTTTAAAAATGAAAGGCCCAGATTTTCCTGGACCTTCTTTATATCAAAAGGCTTTGAGGCTTTTCCAGTTCTCCCATTCCTAAAAGTGTCAGTATGGAACTAAAACTGCTTTTTAAGAAAATTCCACCCATGGCTCAGTGGATTGAGTGCTGTCCTGTGAACCAAAGGGATGCCAGTTCAATTTCGAGTCAGGGCACATGCCTGGCTTGTGGGACAGGTCCCCAGTACGGAGCACTCCAGAGGCAATCACATATTGATATTTCTCTTCCTCTCTCTCTCTTCCTTCCCCTCTCTAAAAATAAATAAATAAAATTAAAAAAAAATAAAGAATAAAAAAAAGAAAATTCCAACCCTACCTACAGGAAAGCTTGATGATATAGGGCATATTTGCTTTCCTCATCATTTTATGCCAGCACCTAGAACTCAGTGCCTGGACCAAAGAACCCACAATACAAATGGGTGCAAAAATGAAGAAAGGAAAAAGGCAGAGTTTTTATCAGATTTCTTAATTTTCACCTAGATGTGTAAGTTATTTTAAAGCATACATTTGTGCCTTTGATCAGTAATAAAATAATAATAGCTACCATCAAGGACTATCCTTACCCAATTAATCCAAGTTCACCAGGGTTCAACGACGTTTAACAAGAGTCACTTTCCTGACACTGCAATAAGAGAGCTGCCCCACAACTCCTTGCAAACATTATCTGTAAGACTCACAACAACTCTGAAGGTTGTTTTATTGCCCTAATTTTACTCATCAAGAAATTATAGCTCAGAGAAGGATCTTTCCTCAAAGTCACCTGGCTAGTAAATCCTTGTCCATCTAACCTCAAAACCCTCACAAAGCAACTCAGAACGCTGAAACCCCAGGCCTGGGCCATGCCCATAAAATGTTCCTTGAGACACTGTAAGCCAGTGGTTCACAATTTTTTTAACTATAAGAGGAAACTTTTCTTTACTAAAACTATGAACAGACACATATTTGAGGCCCAGGACATGCCCTCCTTGATCTGTTAGCCATTAGGGCAAAGGCAATGAGTGCTACTGTAGACTTTTAAATGTTTAATTCAAGTTAATCATACAGGCTCTCTAGATCTGCACATCACTTTTCTCAATGTTCCCGTGAAAGGTGTGAACACAGAACCTGCCCTTATACTCAGACAGGAATGATCCACCACTGCACAGTTCTGTAACTCCATAATCCCTAGCTGAGGGAACAGCAAAAGAAAAATAAATGGAAGTTTAAACAGGAGGGAGAACCTAGGGAAAGGCATTTGTATGAAGTAGCCTAAGCCTGTGGCTTGAGTGACTGGTCTGAGGCCAGATCAGGTCAGGAATGAACCAAGAAACACTCTGCAAATGGCTTTCAGTGCCATACTAAACACTATAAACTTTTCTTTCTTTGCAAAATTAAGTGGATGAATGATATGATTAGATCAAAAATATGCCTAAGAACAAATTGATAGTTTTAAAGGATTTGATAAATTCTAATTTGGTTCAAAAAATAGGTTGATATAAATGAAAATATCCATGTTGTTTATAAATTAAAATGGCATCTAATGTGACTGTTTATTTCAGAGTACTTAGGAGGCCTGGGACAACAGGACAAGTTTTTTCATGTTGCTCAGGCCTTCCCATCAGGGTCTGTGTTAGGCCAAGTGACATAGACATGGGGAGAAGAAGGTCATACCTGCAAGGAACCTCCATGGACATACTTGCATGGACAAGAGGTTGGTCAGAGCCCATGTGTGGGCTGAGAGATGAGCAGTCCATGTGAGCAAGCTCACAGCATGTGACACACTGTCTGCTGGCTCCTCGGTTACCTGTAGTAGCTACTCAAGTGATTATACCACAGGTGTATCACATTCACCTCCTTAGCCTTCCTTTTCCTGCAACTTTCCAGCTAGAGGTGGCCTTATGATCCAGTCTTGGTTAGTGGGATGTAAGCATCAGTCAGGCAGCTGAGTGGGGCTTCTGGGAAAGCTTTGGCCTTCCTCCTGAAAAGTGCAACTCTCAATGGCCACAACCAACCATCCTTCATCATTCTCATTCCTGCCAGCACCAAAGCCTTGGTGCCTAGAGGTCCAGCTCTCACCTTGAGACCACAAGGTGCTGAGCATGAGGATGACAATGCTAAGGAAGGTGGCACACAGAGAACAGAAAGTGCATGGGTCCCTGGCAACCTCTGTTAACAACTGCATCAGCCTTGACCATCTACTTCTAGATATCTTGTCACTGGGACCCTATAAATGCATAATTATTTAAGTCACCAGAGTTGGATTTTTGTTACTATCAGTCAAATGCACTCTTAACTGAGGTGACAGATTCTCTGGTGACTCCCTAGGATTTCTTTTACCTGAAAGTAAATGCTTTCTACTGGAAGAAATAGGGTTTTCTTCTATTAGTCACTGCCCCCAACACACACAGAGAATTTGCCTCACCAGAAAACTCAATTGCCACACAGCTCACTGTATGATCTGAGAGCAGACTAAGGACATGTATCAATAAACTTGTGTCTTCCGAAGAAGAGTATAACACATGCAAGGTTAGAAATACAAAATCCCCAAGCTATGAAAATAACATTATTTCAATGGCGCTCTACCTTAGAAATGATACTTGAATGACTCATGGAACGTCCCAAAGTCTTCTCATTCTGCAAGAAAACCAAACAAGTGATTAAAATGTACAAAGAACAGGCAACTGATCATAACAATCCTACTGACAAATCATTCCCTCAACTAGCATTTGCTAAACATAAACATCTGCGTCAGCTAACAGGTACTGGAGAATTCGGCAAGTGAATAAAACAATAGTGTCTGCACTAAAGGAACTTAAGTTAACAGGAATTTGGAATTAACTGTAAAACTAAGAGGGTATTAAATGTATTATGACACATTTAATGGAGGTTCAGAGGCAAGAAACTACATGTTCAATTGTATGTGGTGTGGTCCATCATATGAGGACCCCCATAGGATGGGGAAAAGAGAGCAGGACAGCTGACCCTACCCACTTTATTTGGTTGTCAAAAGTGTTGGGTACTGAATAGGAAGATTGCACAGCTCACATCTATTCCCTCAATCCAGTCTCTCCCCTCTGAATTAGAGAAATCTAAGTCATGCTAGCTTCTTCCCTCTCACACCTCTCCACATTCACTCACTGAGTCTTATATCAAATTCTTCCTCAACATCACTCAATCTCAAATATCATCTTCATTGCTATTGTCAAAGTGCTAGTTTAGGTTCTCTTCATTTCTCAGGTAACTTCCTGGTCTTTCTGCTTTTAAGTTAACCTTCTTAAGACATAATTGCTATGCACTGAATTGTGTCCCCCCAAAATTCATATATTGAAATCCTAATCCCCAGTGCTCAGAATATGACTATATTTGGAGACAGTGTCTTTAAAGTAATTACATTAAAATGAGGTCAGGTTGTTACAGTAGGCCCTAATCTAATATAAATGGTGTCCTTATAGAAAGAAGAAATTAGGACACAGATACATACAGAGAGAATACCATGTGAAGATACAGGGAGAAGACAATCACCTTCGAGCCAAGGAAAGAGGCCTCAGAAGGAACCATAGCTGCTAACAGTTTGATCTCAGACTTTTAGCCTCCAGACTGTGAAAAATTCCTGTTATTAAAGTCATGCTATCTGTGGTATTTTGTTTTGGTAGCCCTAGCAAATGAACATAATAATCTTTCACACTGTAACTTTTTTAAACTTAGTATTCCAAATGTAAATCTGTTTTTTAAAAATAAAAAAGTGACTTTCCCTGAAACCACTTACTCTTGCTCAACCCAAATGAGGAAAAAAATATTACAAAGCAAAGAGATGATATTTCTTATATTTTTAGATCATCTATTCTCTATTTAGGTAACACTGGTATGCAATTACCACAGGGAAGACCAGAGAACATTGAAATGTAGTTCAGCAGGTAAAGGGGGAGAGAAAGGAGGGTCTAATCCATACAACAACCAGGATGGCTTAAAAATCAAGATATTCTAAGTGCTTTCCAGATGACCCATTCCAATAGCAATGCTAGGGACAAAGATGCCAGTCGCAGCCTCCCTGAGGGACAGCCACTGATGCAGACACCAGCCCGCAGTGTCTCAGTCATTATGGATGAAATGAGACATTCACACAGACTACCAAGTCCAGTGGAGGAAAAGGGACAGCATGGCTTTTCTCTCAAGACGAGCAAAAGCCTTGGCCCTTGCTGTGATCAGCCTTTATTGGGTTTCTTGGCACATTATATGATGGTCCTCATTTACTATATGCACAGGTTCGCTCTAGGTAGTTACCTTTTACAAAAAACAAAGGAGCCAATGCTGCTAATCACATCACAGAAGAGGGATATTTGCAAATGAAAAGGCAAAAGTGAAGCCCTGGCTGGCATAGCCTAGTGGATTGAGTGCGGGCTTCGAACCAAAGCATCGCAGGTTCAATTCCCAGTCAGGGCACATGCATGGGTTGCAGGCCACGACCCCCAGCAACCGCACATTGATGTGTCTCTCTCTCTCTCTCTCTCTCGCTCTCTCTCTCTCTCTCTCTCTCCCCCCCTCTCCCTTCCCTCTCTAAAAAAAATAAATAAAATCTAAAAAAAAAAAGGCAAAAGTGGTTGAATGGGTTACACTCATCCTTGGAAGGTTTAGCATGGATTTTAGGAAGTTACCTTGCAGTAAATGTCCTCAATTCAGAGTGAGGGAGTTTTTTAGCAAGAGCAAGACTCAAAGCGGCCTAGGGACACTGCAGGCCTGATTCCTCACGCGAGAACCTATCCGTGGGCATGGGTCCTGTGCATCTCTGAGTGGGAGCTGGGCCCACACCATGCAGAACGGTCTCCTACAAGCCACCCCAGGTCTGCATGCCTCCCTGCAACCTTGCTCCTAGGGTGCCAGGTTCCAGCAGTACCCTGTTCCTCCCTATTGCTGAACTGTGATAGCCTGACTGGCACTCAGAATAAATAACTTTAAGTGAAGCCTATCTCTATCAGCAGCATGTTTCATACAAAAAAGAAGTCTGTGCATAGCAACTAACAGACACAGAAAGAAAAAAAATACATAAGAGTAAGGAGACCAATTGCAATATACAGCACAGTTTGCTTGACATGCCTGTGGAAACCCAAAATATGTACACAGTGAGCAACGTGCATCAGCATTCTGAGACACCTGCATACCCAGGAACAGAATCAGTTTTACAGGGAAAACCTGCAACATCACTCATTTAAGGTGTTATAAACAAATGATAAAACCCATTATCAATACAGAGTTTTAAATCTTTTTAGAAAAAGGTGATGGAGGATTCCTACCCTTTAAAAAGCACATCTCTCAATTCAAATTTAATTTTATACTCACATGGGAAAATACTTGAGGCATTCTAATAAAACTTAAAAGCAAAATAAGCACATTAGCACAGCTATTGTTTAACATATAGACTTTTTTCTGCTGTAGTAAAATTTAAAAATAAGAAGAGAACTCTATATACAATGAAAGAGAGGTTGCCAGTGGTTAAGGAGGGAAAAGGGACAGGAAGGAAGGGATGTGGTTATACAAAAGCAACTGAGGGGTCCCTGGGGTGATGGATCTGTACCTTGATTACATCAGTGTCAATATATTAGTTGTGATATTTTAATATTGCTTTGTAAGATGTTACCATTGGGTTAAAGTATGAGGAGGGAGTCATAAAAACCTGGAATTTATTTATAAAAAAATTGTGTATCTTTTTCTTACATGTTTAAACTTCAGTCACCTTCAAAGTACTTTCCACTTGATGTGATACACCCATGGAAACGTTTTCCTTACTGCTCAAAACAGTTTTTTGAACTTGCTGATTCTGACACCTTTTAGTGCTTCTGTTATTTTTTCTTTCATCTCTTCCACATCAGCAAAATGTTTCCCTTTGCAGACTTTTTTTTCATCCAAAGAAACAAAAAAAAAATTGCTTGGGGTGAGATCAGTTGAATAGGGAGGATGGGGCACAGTGTCATGCCCTTTCTGGTCAAAAACTGCAGAACATTCATGATGGTATGCGCAGGTATGCTTGTAAATCACCCATTGTAAAATGCGCAAATGCATTTAAAAAGCCTTCAAAAAAATTAACTGAAGCCCAACACAGCCTCTCACAACAACACCAGCTGCTACACTGATACAAATGGGTTCCTAGGACACTCACCTAGTGGGGCAAGCCTGTACTACAAAGGAGCCCACCTTCCAGTAGATAATTCTGGGGTTCTTTGGGGCCCCCTTTGTAGATGAGAGTGCATTAGATCTCTCTCTCTTCATCATCTACAACTATTTGATACTGTGATTTATAATAAGTAAATATTAGGTCATTCAGATGACCAAAATATATTTCTCACATATATTTGGTCATTGTCCAGTTCCTGGCTCAAAGCTCCCAAAATCCTTGGAATTTACTGTTTATAATATTAAAGGTGTGTTTTGTTATGTTAACAAGGTGACTTTTGGAAAGCATCTAAGAATGGGAGCTAATGGCCAGTGGAGCCAAATCCCTGATTAAAGAGGGTTAGAACTTTCAGTCCCACCTCTGAACTCCAGAAAGAGGTCAGAGGTGGAAGACTGAATTAATTGCCAATACCAATGATGTAATCAATCATGACTACAAAATACAGCATACATAAAAACCTAAAAAGGCAAAGGTTGAAAAGCTTCTGGTAGGTTAAAAATAAAAGTGAAAAAAGATATACCTTGTAAACAAAGTCAAAATATCCAAAACATAGAAACCACCCCAAAAGTCCATCAGTAAATAAACTGATAAACAAAACATAGTATTATCTACACAATAGGATACTTTTTATTCAGCCATAAAAAAATTAAGTATTGATACAGTCACGACATGGATAAACTTTGAAAATATTATGCTAAGTGAAAGGAGGCAGATACAAAGGTCACATATTATATAAAATATCCAGAATAGATAAAACTATAGAGTTGGAAAGTAGACTGGAGGTCATCAAGGGCTGGGGAATGGGGAGATTAAGTGTTAATGGGTATATGCACTTACATCCTGAGTGCTAAAGCTTCTGTCCCTGTGGAGTTGAGGTGTGCCATCCTCCTGGCACATGGATGTGTTCACCAACTCAGAAGCTCCTCAAACCCTGTTGCCTAAGAGTTTTAATTAATACAGCTTTCATTATGTAGGCATGGTTGATAAAATCATGAGCCACTGGTGACTGAACTCAATCCCTGGCCCCTCTTTACTCCCTGGAAGTGGGGGAATGGGGCTGGAAGTCCCAAACTTCTATTCATGTAGTTGGTTTTTCTGTTGAGTTAATCCCATCCTGAAGGTTTCTAGGGAACCATCAAAAGTCAACTCATTAGCATAGATTCAGGTTTAGGGAAAGGGGCTCATTACAAAAAGAAAATAATACTCCCAGAACTAAGGAGATTCTGAGAATTTTAGGACCTGTGTGACAAAAACAAGTGACAAATACAGCTCTTTGTATTTGGTGGACTAAACTGCTCAGGTTTTTGTAAATCTGAAGGACTATATATACTAGTACTTAGGCCCTAAATTGGTGACTCCAAGACTTCTCAACTTCATGGTCCAAATTTCAAAAAACATTCAGGAATGCTTTTTTACTCTGCCAAATTCGGACAGTTAAAAAAAAAAGCATCATCATGTCATAAAAGAG